AAGAAAGAAAGAAAGAAAGAAAGAAAGAAAGAAAGAAAGAAAGAAAGAAAACTTACATTAGGCAGCCAGACTGGCCATTTTTACTGTAAAGGCTGATCAAGGGAGATGCCCTGGGTTTGGTAGATCTCTTTCAGAACCAGCAATACTGTATCTTCGGATTCCCTGTGTAGGAAAAAAAAAATTGAGAAAAGATGGAACAGTCTGGTGCCATATGCTTTTCATTTATCTATACAAATACCTTGGATTTGTTTATGTTTGACTGCTGAAGAAATATGTGCCTTTGAGCTCTACTAGGTGGTAGCTGGGAAGCAGGAGAAGGAAAGGAGTAAGTGACAAGAAGAGTCCACAGGGCTTTGCTTGTTTGCTCAAGGCGAAGTCCCTCTCTAGCCCACTCCAGCCCACTCTCTAGTCCCTCTCCTGGAACTTACTCTACAGCTCGGGCTGGTCCTGAATTCACAGAAATCCTACCTCAACCTCTTGACTGCCAGGATTACAAGTGCAAAGCACCATGCCCAGCTCCATAGAGGCACTCTTGAGATAATAGTGAGGAGGCATTTAGGTGGTCACCTTCATTTTAAACTTTTATTTGCTTTTTGGAAAAGGCAATAAAAGGTATGACTCAAAATTCTAAATGTATGAAATGGGGCTTAGAAATATGGCTTATGGCTAGATGGCTGAGCAAGAATGGGAATCTGAGCTTGGAACCTAACACTCACTTAAACAGCCAGGCTGCTCAACCCCAGAACAGTGCGGGTGCTGAGACTCCTGGCCACTAGACTAGATGCACTGAGAGACTGTCTCAAAGGAGCACAGTAGAGAATGAAAGCTACACAGTGACACTGTCTCCAAAAAACAAAGCCAAACAAAAGAATTTAATGAAATTAGAATCTTAGAATCTCACATTCTAGTACTGATGAGACAACTAAATAACCACATTAAAAAAAAAAAAAACAGAAAAACATGACCTGGCTCTTTCTCCCACCTTGCAGGCTAATGATCTGTCACCATGACACAGGTTGGAGTCATTTGAGAAAGGGAGCTTCAACTGAGAAAATACCCTACCAGACTGGCCTGTGGGCAAGACTGTGATTCATTCTCTTGCTTGATTGATATGGGAGGGCCTAACTTACTAGGAGTGCTGCCACTCCTAGGCAGGTAGTTCTGAGTGGTAAAAGAAAGCGGATAGCACTTGGGAGGCAGAGGCAGGGGGATCTCTTGAGTTTGAGGCCAGCCTGGTCTACAGAGGGAGTTCTAGGACGGCCAGGGCTACACAGAGAAACTCTGTCTCAAAAAACAAGAGAGGCAGACAGACAGAGACAGAGAGAGGCAAGCTGAACACGAACAAGTCAGTAAGCAGTGTTCCTTCATTCCTTCATGGCTTCTGCTTCAGTTCCTATCTCCAGCTGCCTGCCCTGACAGCAAGGAGTGTGACCTGAGAGTTGTGAGCTGAATAAACCCTAACCTCTTCAAATTGTTTGTCATGAGGTTGTTTTTATTTATTATTACACCTTTTTCTTTCTTTCTTTCTTCCTTCCTTTCTTCCTTCCTTCCTTCCTTCCTTCCTTCCTTCCTTCCTTTCTTTCTTTCTTTCTTTCTTTCT